ATTGATTATCTAAATAATTATCCCACACGTCTCATTCGAGAACCAGGGACTAAGAAATGGGGTTTTGCACCTATAAAAGCTATTATGTTAGAAAAAGTGGAATCAAGACCATCCACAAAATATAAGCGCCCAGTTGGAAAAGATGAAATAACGTTAAAGAAAGGTGATAGCGTTCGTTATCTTCTTGCTATTGCAGAATGGGAAGGAGGAATGGAGAATCAAAAGAGGGCCACCGATCCCACATACTCGCCTTCTATTCATAAAATCCGGAAAATTGTAGTAATAAAGAATGAGCCAGTTTTATATTATCTTGGAAGTGATGATGATGAATTTGCACCATCTCGCGGATTTGTGCGAGAAGAGCTCATGTTAATAGCTGATCCAGAAAAGGTTGGGTATCCACCTCAAAGTATATTATCCATAAATTTCGTTCATGCTTCTCCTATCAATAGTGAGATAAACCAAGCCATTGGTTATGCTCAAAGACGTGGTGGTCGATGTCTAGGAAAGACTGGAGAAATAAATGGATATAATGTATATCTTTGGTCTTGTGAGGATGGTGCGCATCAATGGGAGTATCCATTAAAGTATATCATGAAAAAATTCGAGTGGTGCCCTCTTTGTCATCATACTAGCGAAAGAACTGTACGATATATTTTCGAGGATCTACTAGGCAAGAAATTTCCATCACGCAGGCCGAATTTTTTGGATGGAATGCAACTCGATGGGTATAATGAAGAACTACAACTAGCATTCGAATTCCATGGTCAGCAACACTATAGTCTAAATTCAATGTTTCATAGGAGAGGCCAGATAGATTTGGATGAACAGAGAATGCGCGATCAGAAGAAGCAGGATATATGCAAGAAGCAAGGTATATGTCTTATCGAAGTGCCTTACACATGTGACCTTTTACCTTTCATTACATACGCATTAGTAAAAAAAGGCTATCTAGAAAATACTAATATTGAATAATTGTAGTTAAGGAATAAGACCCAATTCCTGAATAATCTCTGGAATTTTCTTAAATGGGTTTTCATAATACCAAACATATCTTACTGCTATATGATTTTCATTACAGAGTTCTTTCTTAAGTTGATCCCGTTCCTGCTGTTCGATAAATTTCTTAGGGTCTCCTCTATGAAAAAACTCATGATATTTTTCATGCTGTATTCCTTGAACTTCGATTGCAAAACCATAATGGTAGTAAGGAATGTCAAGTTGTAATCCTGTTAGATACTCTGGTATTTTTAAGAAATCAGGCCAACGATTTGCCGATGGTGGTCCAAAATATTTTGAAATAATGTCATAACATATTTTTTCTCGCTTATATTTTGAACATAATTGATACCAAGAATTACGATTTTTAATAGAGTTTAAACATGCATACCATTCATGTCCTTTTGAACAGCGCCATAATAAATTACTTTTATTGTTAATATATTCACTTGAAAGGCAATAGCCGTCTCGATCTTGAGCGATTTTTTTAGCGATTTCAATATTATGCATTGCTCTTTTGTTACAATGTGGACAATAAGAAATTTTCTTTCTTTTCATATCACTTAGATTTCGAGAAAATTCATGCCCTTCAGTACAACGCTATTGTAAAGGATCTCTATTATTTATATATATATTAGAAAGGCATTGCAGACCTCATTTTTTTCCAACTTCTATAGCTTCTTCAAGAGTAAGAGATCTACATTTATTGCATCACGTTTTCTGATTTTGAAAAGAAGCTTTCCACTTATGTCCATTAGAACATTCCCAAAATAAAGGAATTTTATAATTAACATATTCAGTAGAGAGGCAATATCTACCATGTATTTCAGCATATTTTCTGGCATCCTCAATAGTAAAAGCTAAACATTTGCGACACCATGATCTTTTATTTTTAACGTTACTAATAAGAGCATACCATTCATATCCTTTACTACATTTCCATAATAAAGGAGTTTCACAATTAATATATCGAATAGATAAACAAAAGCCATTACGCTCTTTTGCAATTCTTATTGCATCATCTAAAGTTAATTTTCTTGTCATTTTTTAATAATCTTGTGTTAATTCAAATTATTAAGAAATACAGCTGATCTCCTGTCCTATATCAGACATACACTAATCGAGAAAGGATTCTTGAGTAATTCTTCAAGTTAGGTTGGAGAGAATTATCTTCTTGGCAATTTGCAAGATTATTTTTAGAATAACATTAGTAATAGTTCGACATGAAAATAAATAAACTTAAACCGGTTGATAGGCTCGTATATCACATCAACGAGATTAAAGATGCCCAAAAATATAATGGACATTCGAGTGTTCCCCAATGGCCTTTCACTTTACTAATTTCTGGCCGTACTAATTTAGGAAAAACTAATGAGGTTCTCAATCTTATGCTCAGAAATAAGCTTTATCGAATGTTTAATGGGAAGAAAAGAGGAATACGCTATATCAAGTGTGATGATTTACTACTCATCAGTCATAATCTTAAGGAGCCAAAATATAGGTATCTCAAATCAGCCTATCAGATAATTGCAAATAGCCCAAAACCATATCGTGAAGATATTACATTTCGAGCAATAAAACCTGATAAAATACCTAAAGTGGATTCGTTTTCTCCAGATAGAGGTACAGTGCCTATATTCGAAGATGTATGTGCTGATCCGAAAAAAGTGCAGGAGAAAATCATTCCTTATTTTGTTGAGGGACGCCATTACAACATCAGTTCGATATATGTATCCCAGAGTTACTTTGATTGCCCAAAAATAATACGAAAAAATCTTACACATGTCTGCCTATTTAATGGGTCATGCATCACAGATGAGCTAGTCAGAATTGTGCGTTAATATGCTAATGATTGGCGTAGTGTGATCAAGATTATTGATAAGGCATTATATGAGAAAAAATTCATTGTTTTCGATCTAACCGTACCTCGTGAGCATCCACACAAGATACGGCTCAGTTGGAACCAAATTCTTAAAAAAGTGTCTCAACTAATGAATAGAATCCGACTTTATAGATGATAGCTCTTTTTCTGCCTCCTGTATCTGCATCTTCAGATCCTCGACCTTGTAGCATAATTTCTTATTTGCACTAACACTTTCTCTATAATCATTATCTATGTCTTGTATCATTTTTCCAAAAGTCTTTCTATTATAATCAAGTAGATGTTAGGATAAGACTTTAAGTTCATTCATAACTCGGTGGTTATTTTCTTCCTCGAGATTATAAGGGATACTTTCAGTTTGAACCTCATTATCTAAAACACATACATATGGTAATGCTAGAAATACATTATATTCTGGCTAACTTCGAGGACGTAATAATTTTTTCTGAGTCATATTTTTGTGTTTCCTATTTAATGAATTCTCAAACCTCCTGCCTTTTTATATATATTCAAAGTCGAAAAAAAAGTAACATATTAAGACACAATAAATTTAAAGTAGGAATTAGATATTAGACAGAATATTTATTGCATTGATCAATAGTGTATTAGCCTTTTTAATTTGTTCTAATTTAGCTAAGAAGTCAATGTCTTCTGTTTGGGTTGCTTTATCCAAGGAATCAGTTTGTATTGCTTTATCTAAAAAAGTACTATTTTCTGTGTGCATTCCAGTATCTATACTGTAAAGAAAAGCTTTTTGAGATTTTGCATTATTGTAAACAATTAGCTTATTACGTAAATATTGCTCAATCTGATCACTTTTTTCTGTAATTTCTTCTAGTGAAACAGGGTTGCGCCTCATATTAAGTAATTGATCAAAAGATCATTTGACTAAACTTGGTGGCATTTGATTTATAATAGGCTTATAATCAGGATAAAATGTAGGTATTTGTGCATATAAATCAATAACTTCTTCGATATCTGCTATTTAGTAATGAATTTATTTTAGTTATGTAATGTTTAAGTATTTGATCAAAATAAAATTATACACTGGTAGATCAGCTAGATATATTAGCTCTGATCAAGAATTTCACGTGACATCTTAACCATTGGTCACTTCCTAGTCCTATGCGGATAAATATATATCTCGTTAGAAGCGCTAAGACAAATATACAGGAGATAGCCTATCTTAATTGCTTTTTTTTAAAAAAAACTATAATAAGAAAAAGATATGTATATAATAAAAATTCTTCTGCAGTTAAGGTTATGATCATCGCAAAACATGAAATAAATATGGTAACTCTGATGTCTATTAATTTGCGTGAGGGCCGTCATGAAAAATTGTCAAGAAAAATTTTTATTAATGTTAAGATAAAAATACAAGGTCAGATATAATCCACAATTTTTTCTATACTAAAATAACAATACTAAATTACAATTGTAGGATAAGGGATATATAATAAAAATACAAGACAAAAAAAATTCTAGTCATCTCGCTTAGATGAAGAAACTGTAGAGCTTTTTTCTACATTCCGATTTGATCTTTTTAAAGGTATATTGTATAGTATATTCATATTAACGATTAGAATATTTCGCAATATCAGTAATGATTCTATGAATTTTTCTACAATTGATGGATCTGAAAGTTGAACTGGAATTTTTGATTCATGGAGATGATAATATCAATGGAGCTCGCTCATATCCCTCATAAAAATACTTAAATATAATTTCTTTCCAGCTATTTGTATCCCAATAATCCCAAATTCATCCTTATCAGGTTTTCAACTTTTACGAGTCCAGTACATTCCATCATTGACCTCGCGCCACAGCTTCACTTGATCATCTCTCTCCTTTTACGTTGTACATGATAAGCATGAGCATTCAGTAAATAAAATTTTGGTAACTTTTCTCATTGTGTTTCATTATGATCATAACATCTGGCTGTCTCCCAGATTGCCCATTGCCTTTCCTATCTGCACTGGTACTACTTTGACATTTGGAGTTACTAATGAATGTGGATTTTTCTAGAAGAAGATTCTTCAATGTTGCATGAATCGCTGGTACTATCACATTGGTCACGTAAGTACCTTCTTCATTCAGGGATTTCACAAAATTTGCTTCAAATGCAGGATTATTTCAAGAATCGCTTCTAGTATTAATGGCAGTGAGCAGAGAGTGGAAAATCACAAAATATTATTAAAAAATACTTATAATGTATCCAAAATTCTCTCTGCGATTATTGCAAGCTCATTTTCTGTTTTTTTCCATATCCCATCATGTATAAGTTTTCTTGGAAGATCAATTTCACAATTCTCAATGAAAGTAGCAACGAATTCATTACATTTTCTTTTCACTGCGAACGGAAAAGATAAAGGTACCATTTGTCATACTGGCTTCATAAAAGTATGCTTAAATTGACTCAGCAATTTCTTTACAATTTCTGACTCGTCAGAAATTACTTGACTGGCTAGAGGGTCTATCCATGATAATTCAGAAATATTCACATTATCTATACTGAAGTATAGATGCTGGTTAATCAACGTCATTATATTTTTCTTGAGTTTGGTTTTCAGCTCATTTATATTTTTTTTAATCTCGTCAGAGTTAAGAGGTCTTTTCTTATTCATTTTAACCGCTCCTATATCACGCAAACTACAGACTCCTTCAAAAGCTATCTCAAATTAATATAATCAGATGATGCGTTAGTTTCAGCAATATATCAATTTCATCATTAAAAAATGCATGCACTATCAGTACATATGCAAAGTTATCATCTTAGTGTGACTATCACACTGATGAAACCTTGTGTGATACTAAAATAACTACATAATATAATTAACCATCCCTTATACATCGAGAAAAATTCTTGGGGTAGAGCTAATGGAATGATTAAAACATAAGCAATAGTTTAAACGTCCTCCATACAGTTCAAGGAATAGTTCCTTTTGTTGCAGGCTATTAGGATGAATATACTATATTTCAGACCTCGTTCCTGCGAGTGGATCACATAATATCATCATCTAGTGGAAAAGAAATATTAATAAAGCTTTATAACTAACCTGGGGAAGTATTCGGAGAAGTTTTAATTGGCGCGAAGGTTCTTCGGCATATAGATTACTAGCAAACCCTATGGCTTGGTCTACAACCCTTCTTAAATCATTTTGCGAAATCCAGGGATCTTCTTCTATTCCCTGATAAATGACCGAGGTGGCAGTAATATGTTCTTGCTTAGCAGTTACTAAAAAATTGTAAATTTTCAAGTATAGTTCAGAAGACATAGTTTTGTGTTGTTAATATAGAATAAGTGACCTGAACATAAATTTGCCATACTACCCTTTTAAATGCCACCATTTCTTATTCTCTTCATGTTGTGGAAAAAGAGATAGGAGAGGTACTTTATGCCAATTTTTTGAGAATAAGGGCAAGCGGAATGTGTATTGAAGATCTCAACATTACATCATATATATTTTAACAAGGATCAAAAACGTGCTAATTTATGTCGCACACTGTTCTCCTACATGCATTGTGACAGAGTGAAGTAAAAAATATATAGTTTTTTTTATTGATAATATTTGGAATCTTGATCAGAGCTGGGAATTTTGTCGGAAAGTCACATAAGATGTATTCTCTTATACTATTATACATTCATTCCAATATAATTATCCATTCCAAAATGCGAATATACTAACTGGATAATTTTACCATATGATTTATTCGGATAAGCAGTTATCTGTCTATAATAATATTCAGAATTTTCAATCATTTTTACTGATACTTTGTAGAATCTTACAAATAATTGAATTTTCTTATCTTGTACCTAATCACCACCTAAAAACTTCTCCTCATCAGTAGTATCATCATTTCTCAGCGCATTCCATATTTGAGATGCGAATGATGCAGGTCTCTTCTTGTAACTCCTCCAAGCCTGAATGATAACTCTTATATTATTAATTAAGCGATTTACAACCCTTTTCTTAATTTCATTTGAATGTTCATAAGTATAATTATTTAAGCTTTTTTTGAATATAAAACAATATGTTAGATAAATCTCATCAACTTTAACAGAACTGAGCGATGATACACTCTTTCGAATTAGCGTTCTTCCCTTTTTCACATTCTTTCATGTATGAATAGAATATGCAAGATTCTTTTTGACCGTTCTAGCAATACATTTATTAAGGTGATCACTTGCACATTCGATAGTATTTTCATGGATAAACACCAAGGAGTCGCATATAGTGTAATAAATATTAAATGAGCGTCTCCCAGCTTTAAATTCTCTATCTATATATGATCTTTCAATTATCTGGATAAACCCATTCTTCGAGAAGTATTTTGGGTTATATTCGAGAAGTTTATTGAATGGATAACGAACACGAGAACACCACATTTCTGGTGTTTTACCACTATATCTATATTGCAAATTGTTTAACGCCTGCACTATTACAGGATTTAAACCAGAATAGTAGTTAGTTCTAACCATTTTACAGGTATAAAGAGTTTATAGCAATTTACGGTTTATAGAAATTTTAAAGACTTATATCAGTTTGTATCAATTATATTATAATAAAATATCAGATTCATTTTTTTTATTCGATTACAAGTATATCAAGGGTTTATATAAGGTTCACATTTGGCTATATGCATATTCACATGCATATAGATCAGTTTGTAGATCTCTGAGGTTTTCCCGATATGTCATGATTCGGTTAAATTAGTTCCAAGATAATATAATGGCTAAATTATTCTCAGATCCATGGCGTATATCATATCACAGGAATCACTCTAGTTCTCTGTCAGTTCCACAACAGTTTTCTGAAGCTATCATAATGCCGAGTTGTTTTTCAAATCATGGGATGATCGGCTATTCCTGTGATATAAACCCGGTTGGAGTGTTGATCAGACTGCACAAAATTATATGATAATCATGTCTGATATTTCGGCTATATTACATTGGCATGTGAAATAGATAGCCATGAAACTATGAAGTATAGTAGTATTTTAAATCTCCAGATGGCCAATCACTTTACCAAGAAAAAATTTTTGTAATAGGCACAGTAGGTTATGGCTGATCGGTTTGAATGGCATATATCGAGCCAAAAAATCATAGCATTAGATGATCCAATATGGGCTATATGATTTCACTTGAAAAAAATATATATTGGCCTAATATATTTCTTCAATATTTTAACCCCTGATTTATTCTGTATAAAAAGTTCCTATTGCAGGACGCGAAGCAGAATCTTGCCATTCTTATCTGAAAATAAAATCACAAAAAAGGTATTAGATATAAATAAGCAATATTTGTCCTAAGAAAAAAAAGATCAAAGAGTATATTTAGAAAATAGGTCTGAGGTAGATATGATTATACAAATTAATATAATTCTTTTTTCCCTCTATTGATATCCCAGAATGAATTGCTGGAGATGACCTACCCTGTTTAAAAATATTTTTTTTCTTCTCAATAGTTAGGCTAATCTCCTGCAGTACCGAAGATATAAGAGAGGGAGTGATTTCTTGAAAAAAAGATCTCTTATCTTTATTGTTTCAAAGGACTAGAGAAAAGGGAATGAGTAAATTAATTTGTGTTGCTTTTCTTGTTATCCCTACTGGTACATTTTTTGGATATAATCGATGTCAGGTAATTAGTATTAGTATTGAAAAGGATGCACCAGTTACTGCATTAGAATCTGATATCCAAAAATATCACTTGGATGAGAAATTTAGAAATGCTTTTTTTTCTTTATATGCAATCGATTATGAGGCAAAGACATATAGGGATATAAAATCGGAGGATAAGATTAGCGATTATTTTTTTGAAGATCCTTTTATGTTTGATAAGCATATTCACATTCTTGTGGT